CCCCAAAACCCCAAAACCCCAAAACCCCGATTTTGGGTGATGAGGTTGAGATGAGATTAAGAAAATGTTTTAAAAAATTAATAGTGAGGAGATTAGGGGTTAGTGTTTACGGGGTTTGGTTTTGACTTTTTTGACTTTTTTGGATTTTTTAGATTTTTTGGGTTTTTTGGGTTTTTGAATGGGGAGGATCTCTTCGTCGTGTTCTGTGTTGAGGTCTTTCTGGTAGTCTTCGTCAATGTAGGGAGTCTCAAGAGGAAGGCTATGAGCGTTATTGGTAGGGCTAGAATCAGAAATAGACTCTGTCTCAGCGTAGTTTATAGAAGGAAGTCTTTTCTGTCGAGATCGAACAAGTTTTGAGTTGATCAAATTTTCAACCTTAGAATGTCGTCTTTCCATCTCTTCATTTTCAAGTTTCTTCTGTTTAATTTTCTCCAGCCTCTTTGATCTTAGACCAAGATTGAATCCTCCTGAGTTTTGAGAGGAGCTTTTGTCTTGAGAATCTTTAGGTGTTGACATTGCAGCTGCTAAACTTTGACATCCCATAATCATATTAGGATCATTCTCATTCTCACTTTGCTGAGTGGAAGGCCTAGATCTCTTCTTCAGTCTTGGACCTGATTTTCCTTTAACTTTACTTAAATCTTTTCTCGCTTTCTTAGTGAATGTTTGATGTTGATATAAGGTTGAGGTAACTAAATCTAGCATATCTTTGGCTCTTTCCTTTGCATCCAAATCCACCGTTTTCGACTTTAATACTGCTTCAAGGATAAATCTAATTTTCTCTTCATCATCTTTGATAAGATCACTGAGAGTTTGCTTATTTTTGCACGAGTCCATAAGGTCTTCAATAGCTCTATCAAGTTTGTCTAGGAATATTACTAGAGCTTCCTGGTTTTTGAGTAGCTTCTTCCTATTACTCTTAAACTCCTTCTCTAGGTTAGCAACAGAGGGAATATCATCTGAGAATATCTTGTTCCAAAATTTATCATTCTGAAAATCAGGGATGTCTCTTTCATGCTCTGCTACATCAAATGTCTTCTTTTCATAGTTGTAGCCTTTTTTGAGGCCTCCTTTGCCAGCATCTTCAATGAGTTTGTCAATATCAAGACTTTCAATATCATTTTCTTTGTCATTTTCTTCATTGAGGAAAGCATAAGCTCCATGCTTGAGAAGATTCTCAACTTCATTTGGGTTGTTCTTGATCTCATTGAAATTTCCAGTATTCGAAAAGTTCTCATCCGTGAAATCTCCTTTGGAGAAAATGGCCTGCTCCATTCCAAGTTTCTTGGAAGCTCTCTTAAACATCTCTTGCTCGTAAGTATCGGCAGTAATTAACCTGTAGACTTGTACGGAGAATTTCTGACCAATTCTGTGGGCTCTTGCAATTGCTTGGAGATCATTCTGTGGGTTCCAGTCTGAGTCAAAAATGATCACAACTCTAGCAATTGCAAGGTTGATTCCCAGTCCTCCTGCTTTGGTAGTAAGTAAGAATACTCCAAAACGTTTATCTTCATTAAACCTTTGAATTGAGAGGACTCTGTCAGTAGAGTTAATCGATCCTGTAAGTTTCTCAGTCCTGATCCTCTTCAGAACCAGGTATCTCTCTAGGATCTCAAGACAACTTGTAAACTGGGAGAATATCAAGATCTTGTGATTCTGCTTTCTGTATTTCTCGATAAACTTATCGACAAGGATCAGCTTGCCGCTTGCATCTTTTAATTTTTGGAGTTCCTCATCATAAGATTGAATATTTTCAGTGAGGTCTTCTTCGACACCTTTAAGCATATAGAGGTGGTCACATCATTTACGTAGTTGCATGTCAAGATTGTTCAGCTGGGAAGTTTTCACTGAAGAACTTCCAAACTGGGCCAGTACACTTCTATTCTCAGAGTAAATTCCTTTGTAATATGCTTTTTGCAGTGAGGTAAGACCTACCTCTATCACAGTTTCGTTGAGAGGAGGAATACTGAACTCCACATCATCTTTCTTTCTTCTCAAGAAATGTGGCTTGATCAACTTCTTAAGGTCGGAAATCTGATCGTTGTTAGTTAAATTTCCGAATCTTTCTTTGAATGCTTCTTCATCACAGAATTTATCTGGCTCAATGTAGTTCAGAATTGAGAACAATTCTGAAGTATTGTTTTGGACCGGCGTTCCTGTGAGTAATAAAATGTTCCTGCAAGGATGCTCTTTCATCAAGCTAAGAACTTTTGTCTTTGCATTTTTCAGTCTGTGAGCTTCATCGATAACCATATACATAAATGGAACATGTTTAAGTACGGTTCTGATGTCTTGCATGAATACTTCATAACTTGTAATGACTACATGGGGTTTGAAAATGCTGTTTTTGAGAGTGGTATTTCCTCCTTGAGTGATTTCAGGCATGTACCATTCCCAATCCATTAAGGCTTGTCTTCCATTTCCACCTTTGCTATCATAATATAAAACTGGATTGAGGTAAGTCCAGTCTTGTACAACTCTAACCCAATGATCCAAAGTTGACAAAGGAGCGACAATCAAGAAAGGTCCGAATACTTTTGTTGTTTTTGCAATATGGTCTAAAAATGTCACTGAAATAATGGTCTTTCCAAGTCCCATTTCATCAGCAAGGACCACATTCCTCCTCTCATGCCATGCTCTGATTAGCCAATTAAGCCCATCAACTTGGTAATCCTTGAGTTGGAGGTTCTCTCCTCTAAACTTTGGTTGTGAAACTTTAGTCTTTCCGTACTGAATTCATTGAGTTTTTTCAATACTGTCATATTGATATAACTTGTCCATGAAATTTCTGTAAGACTGCTCTTTTTGTATATCTCTTTCCTTCTGTCTGTAAGATCCTCTTCCTTTCATCTGGAGTCTTCCTTCATAATATTTCAGAATGGCAGTATGGGCATACATGATTCCACACATCTTCTCTCTCATCGTGGAAGAATGTCATCTATTGAACATTTCGAAATCTTTGATCTATATCGTGTTAGTTTTGATGAAAACTTACCTTTCCCATATATGCTTGGATTCTAGATAATGGTTCCCAAGTAACTTCCTGGTATGAGAGACTTCTCCATTTCACTAGGTATAACTGGTCTACTTTTTGTGCTCTTTCAAGGTCCTCTTCTGTGAGTGATTTCTATAAAGATTAGATAATAAATAAACTTATCCCTAAGCCAACTGAAGTCCATCTCTCCAGGATGCGGATACTCTTGTAGTGGCTTCTCATCAGGATCTTCATCATTCTTGACATCTTCGTTCTGAGGCGTTTTAGCCATTTCTTCTTTTTTTACTATCTCTTCTTTGACAGATTGGTGCCTATCACAGGCCTTTTTGTACCAGTCTTTGTATAAGACATAAGAAAGCTCCTTCATGTGATGAGCTACTTGGAACATGTACACTCCTTCGTTTTGGTGATCATGACAGAATGTGTCAATAATTTCTCCAAGTTCTCACCAAAATTGGACTTGAGTTGTAATCTTCTTTGTATAAAGTCTGTTGAGTAACGTGAGGAAGTCAGGTGATTTCTTCCTATTTTCATCATTTTCAGGGTTATAGTTAATATCAAGAAAATGCAGTCCAATATTATGCGTTCTTTTGCTGAAGTTTAAGAGAATGCACATCACTTTTTGAAGATCTTCAAGCCAAGTTCCTTCTGTCTTTTTGACAAGTCTTGGATGTACAACCGGGAACATGTTTGTAGTAAAAAGAATCCTTTCAACTTGCAAGTAAGAAGGATCAAAAGCATCATCATAAACACATTGTGTTGGAAGAAGTCCTCCATGTTTCATCATCCTACTCTTATACCTCTTCAACTTCTGCTCCCCTTCAGCACTATGATTCACGATCTCCGTCTGTGTCATCCACTTGCAATAATGATGACTCTTATTGACAAACTTGATCAAAAAGATAAAGTCATCCTCCGTAAGATTTGCATAATTCTTCTCTTGCCTTTCTTCTGGTTCTTTCATTGTATTCTCTGCTTGTGGTTCCTGTTGGGCTTCCTTTATGCTATCCTGCTTCTTCTTGCTCTTCTTAGTCCTTTTGATTTTGCCTTTTTCAAGCTTGACTTCATCTTCGACTTCTTCTTCCTTGTATTTCTCCTTTTCCTTCTCATTGGCTTCAAGGATATCCTGGATATCATCGTTGATGCTGCCTTGGGAGTTCTGGTTCTCCTCTTCTTTCTTTAAGTGATTGGTGATTTCAGAATGCATGTATTTCGTCCGATGCGAGATTATGTTGTCGATCTGGTGCGTGAAGTACTCGCCAGGGTAGTTTAAGCAGTAATCTGAGTCAAGAATTTCAGCAGGCTCAGAGTCTTCTCTTTTAGGCTCATCCATCATTATGCGTTTTTCAAACTCCCTATCACTAGAGTTTTCAGAATCGTTATCTGAAGGGTCAGATTCACCGAAGTATTCTTTACGAGGGCGGGGCATTAAGGAATGTTTTGGGTTATTAAGATTTTAATGATTTGAGAGCAAATTGGGAGATAGACATATTTTTAAAACCTTTATGACAAAATATTCAATTTAATAGAATTTTGGAGGGGTTTTGGGGTTTTGGGGTTTTGGGG